TAGCTCCTGTGACATCCCACCTCTGCCCATTTAGTCCCTTTGGGACATTCACCCCGAGCTCGGGACTAACCCCGACAACATCGTCAGCGTGGTTGGGTTTCCCTGTGAGACTTGCTGTCGCGTGGATCGCTGTGATGGGCGAGTCCGCCGGCTGTGGCTACCAGTTGCACCAAGACTGGAATAGCATTGTTCCTCTCTGTGCAGCAAGGAAGGCTTTGTAAATAAAATCTTAACATTTTAGGTCAAAAAAGAAAGAAAGCAGAATGGTGGTTGGCAGGGGCCGGGGGAGTGGGGACAGGAGTCACTGTTTAATGAGACATATATGTGGTTTCAGTTTCACAGGATGGAAAGGGTTATGGGGATCGACGGTGATGACGATTGCACAGCAGTGTGACCATTGGATACCACTGAGCTGTGCCTGTGAAAAGGTTACGATGGTAAATTGTACGCTAAGTGTGTTCTATCACAAAAAAAAGGGCTTCTCCCCAGCTCCCCGCCTTCCCCCCGACACCCAGTCCCCCTCAGGCAGGTGCACGGTCGGCGCTCAGGGGTCCTCCCTGGCCATCAGCGGCTGCAGGAACAGCCCGGCTGTCCCCAGGATGCACACCAGGATGAACACCCACAGGAAAATGCGGTCGATCACCATGGCCACATACTTCCAGTCGTCTTGAATCTGGAAAAAACACACCCAATAATCAATAATCAATAAAATATTTTTTTAGCTGTAACCGGTTTGGCTCAGTGGATAGAGCGTCTGCCTGTGGACTGAAAGGTCCCAGGTCAAGGGCATGTACCTTGGTTGCGGGCACATCTTCAGTAGGGGGTGTGCAGGAGGCAGCTGATCGATGTTTCTCTTTCATCGATGTTTCTAACTCTCTCTCTCCCATCCTCTCTGTGAAAAATCAATAAAATATATTTAAAAAAAAATAAAAAAAATATATATTTTTTTAATTGATTTCAGAGAGAAAGGTAGAGAGAGAGAAACATCCATGATGAGAGAGAATCATGGACCGGCTGCCTCCTGCACGCCCCCCACTGGGGGGTCGAGCCCGAAACCCGGGCCTGTTCCCTGACGGGCAATCGAACCCTGACCTCCTGGTTCATAGGCTGATGCTCAACCACTGAGCCACACGGGCCAGGCCGTGACCGATTTATTCTAAGTTGAATTCCAGTTTACAGTTTGTTAGAAGAGCAGATACAATCCAACACCATCCACCTTTGGCTCACAGTCCTTGCCCAGTTTTAGATGTAATTTCCTTTTAACATCCATATCAGGGCAAGTCCCTCATCACTCTCTCTCTCCCTCGCCTGCCACCCCCCACCCCCAGCGATACCCAAATAATCAGATACCATCTTCAGTCCTAAGTCCAGAGTATCATGACGTTCTGTACGGTCAACAGAACGGGCTGGCATTCCGAAATAACTGCCCGATAATCAAGTGAAAAGACGGAAGACAGAGCAAGGCTCCTTGTCTACGCTACGGCTTCCACGGAGGCTGGAACGAGGAAGGGGGGTGGTACGTCCGTCCGTGAAGCGCCCAGACGGCGCAGAACGCAAGGAAACCGTAATTGAATTGGGAGGAGAGAGGATCCATGAATCAACTGATTTGGAAGAAATAATCGCATAACAATGAGGCAGCGTGGACGCGGTAATCTCGTTAAGGGGCTGAAATGGGGCTGGGAGACGGGATTCATTTCACCGCGACGAGCGGCCATGAACGTGTCCTGCTGGTGACACTGAGTCCTGGGTAAGGCCGGGATTAGGCTGCATTTGCCACCAGGTGCGTGATTTGAGGTCCGAAGGCTGGGTTTGTATGTGCTTCCAGTATTAAATGGACCCTGTGGTTCCCTCCCGCTCCGCTGGCTGAGCCCCCTCAGGCCTGGGAGACGGGGGTGGGAGGCAGCTTTGCGTACAATCCCAGCTCCGCTCCTTTCTAGTCCTGAGAGTCTGGGTGAGTTACGTGACCTTTCTTTCTTTTATTTAAAAAAAATATATGTTTTTATTGATTTCAGAGAAGAAGGGAGAGGGAGAGAGAGATAGAAACATCCATGATGAGAGACAATAATTGGTTAGCTGCCTCCTGCACGCCCCACACTGGGGATCAGGCCTGAAACCCCGGGCCTGTGCCCTGACCGGGAATTGAACCCTGACCTCCTGGTTTTGAGGTTGAGGCTCAACCACTGGGCCACACCAGCCAGGCCAGAGTCTAATTTCTTTTCTTTTCTTTTTCTTTTTTTAATATATTTTATTGATTTTTCACAGAGAGGAAGGGAGAGGGATAGAGAATTAGAAACATCGATGAGAGAGAAACATTGATCAGCTGCCTCCTGCACACCCCCTTCTGGGGATGTGCCCGCAACCAAGGTACATGCCCTTGACCGGAATCGAACCCAGGACCCTTCAGTCCGCAAGCCGACGCTCTATCCACTGAGCCAAACCGGTCAGGGCCTAATTTCTTTTCTTTTTCTTTAAATATATATTTTTATTGATTTCAGAGAAGAAGAGAGAGGGAGTGAGAGACAGACACATCCATGATGAGAGAGAATCACGGATCGGCTGCCTCCTGCAGGCCCCACACTGGGGATGGAGCCCGCAACCCGGGCCTGTGCCCTGAGCGGGAATTGCACCGTGACCTCCCGGTTCCTAAGTTGATGCTCAACCACTGAGCCACACCGGCCTGGCCAGAGTCTAATTTCTTAACCCAGCCCCACGCCTTGCCCCACAGGAACCCACACACGTCTGTTGAGCGGATGCCCGACGGCCGTAACAACACGATGCCCTAACACGCCCTTACCTCTTTGGCCTCATTCTGCGCCTTCATGTTTTCCGCGATGTACCTGACGCTCCGGATGGCCTCCTTGATTTCCGGCGACAGGGCCGACAGCGAGAGCACGGCATCCACGGAATCGGTGCTGGAGCTCCGCGTGAGGTTGGCGGTGAAGTTCGAGATCTTCACCGTGCGGTGGTGGTGGCGGCGGCTGGCCCCGCACGGCCCCCCCCGGCAGGG